GGAACAGGCTGCCCAGGGAAGTGGTCAAGTCCCCATCCCTGGAGGTATTTAAAAGACAGGTAGACGAGGTGCTTAGGGACATGGTTTAGTGGTGGGTTGCCAGTGTTAGGTTAACGGTTGGACTTGATGATCTTAAAGGTCTTTTCCAACCTAAATGATTCTGTGATTCTATCTGACTTTCTCATCTAAAAGCTCATCCTGTAAATATGGTTTTTTTTTGAAGATGGAAAGAGAAGGCAGTATCTCCATCATGAGGTGGTTTGGTTGTTTTAAGACAATCCCAGGGCTCTGTTCTGCAACTCTTTTTTTTTACTGTGCATTTGGGCTGCAAGTCAGTTGCTGTTATTATCATAGAATCACAGAATCATTTGGTTGGAAAAGAGCTTTAAGATCATTGAGCCCAACTGTATCTGCCCACTACCAAACCATGTCTCTAAGCACCTCGTCTACTTGTCTTTTAAATACCTCCAGGGATTGGGACTCAACCACTAATCTCCTAATCATGCCAATAATTTAAGTTAGGGTAAGAATGAGATAAAAGCAATGGGGTGGCAGACATGTGGAAAAGGTAGAAAGAAGGGGAGGAAAAAAAGGGAGTTAATTAGTGGAGACATACTCAGGTCCATTTTTTTTTTTTTTTGTCTAGCTTTTACAGATCACTATTCATGTAAAAATGTCCAAGATCCACTTTGTCTTCTTGTGAAAAATGAGGCTGAAACCTCAGATATTTCTGTATTGCCCTAATAAGAAGCATATTTAGAATTATGCCATTGATTACCTTCTCTTCCCTCTTACTTAAAAGCAGCATTTTAATTTATAGATTGATAACCTGCACTAGCCATCAGACAGAAAAAAAATCCACTTAGACTCACAGTATGCAATTCCAAAGTCATGTTGAACAAGATGTCTGTAACACTTAACATTTTGTAAATGTTCATATTTCACTAGCGCGAGTCACACTAAATGTGTTTTTTCCTTACACTGAAAAGTAATACGTACCTTCCAATGTTCAGACCCACTGACATACATCTGCTGTTCTCGTTTCTAACCGCTTCCAAGTTGCTGATAACATATGCATACATAAGTGAATTTTCCTATGATTCACCTTTTAAATATTACAATTTTTTTTGCTGTCAAAACTCTGCTAATTTATGCTTCATTATAGGCTAGGAAGTGCAATTGTGGACTGTGCTACAGTAAGGCCTGTAGCCCCTACGTGAGAAATAGGTGCTTTACATGATTCCATGCAGAAACTATCCCACAAACTTTCATTCCAGTATCTTCTATCTTACAATACCATAATTACAAACCTACATCTCTAAGATGTTGGGGTCAAATTATTTAGTGGAAAAAAAGACATCAGTATTATCTGCAAATTCTGTTTCCCACAGGCATAAATTTGATAAGCAGCGAGTTAAAAGTCAAATTTAAGGACACTGAAAGGTTGAGCTCTGTAAAGGAAGCATGGCTATTCTTTAATCCTATAAAGTCTAGAACAGAGTAAACTGAAGCACAAATCAACTATTAACTATTAAAGCAAATACTTTAAGAGTAGGAAACTTAGCCGTTGAAAGGATGACTAAATTAAAAGGTACATGACCACTGTAGGCAACAGAAGCTGTGACGGATCCCCCCAAAAACGGTTGCTCCCCTTTCTATCCCAAACCTGTACCAAACTCTCACATGTACCAGTAAAAAATAACAGATGCCAGAG